GCGGTAGGCCGTTTGCCAAAAATGCCAATGTAACACAATGGCCTGTTCGTCGAGAAATTAAGGGCGAGTCTCTTAGAGTTAGAAGGGGTGATATATGTTCGTTAAGAAGCACTGCGCTATCAAAAAGTGTCCCTGTCTCTTTTAAGAATACAACGAGATACTGCCTATATACACACTCTTTATATTTCTTCGTGCTTCTTCTACATTTCTGTGTATGCATGTATTGTGGTGGTTATATGTTTATGTGTTCCATCTGGATAACGATAAGAGAAGCCAAGTCCGATACACACATTGCCATTTCAATTTTCTTCTCGTCATGCGAAAAATAAAGGAGAAAAGCAAAGAAATGTACAAAAAAAAAGAAGCTCGCATTTGTAGGTTAACATAAGTAAAAAAAGGCAACAAGTAGTTAACCTTCCACTTTAATAATTATTTCTTTCAATAATTAGAACGTACATCTGTACTTACTTATTTCTTTCCGATTAACTGTTCGAATATATCCTAAATGAATTTAACATATATATATATATATATATGTATACGGCGTTCCCTAATTTGTGATTTTTCATTCGTCTCGTTAAATCTTAAAAAAAAAAAAAGAAAAAAAAAAAAGAAAAAAAAGAAAGAAAAAAAATATTTTAAACGTAGAAGAAATCGTTGTTAGTCGTTAGTCTAACGTCATTCTCCAAAGGAAATAGCATCATATTTCTCTCTCTCTCTTTTTCTACTTCTTTTTTTCCTTTCAAGGAGAAAGAGAGAGACATCGAAAAAAAGAACTAAGAGAGTAGCCGACGACCACTCGTCGTATTATGCGTGAACGTAGTTATTAAGTAGAGGGAGATTTGAGAAACTGTTGGCGCCACTATCGCGTTGGTTGTGGCGGCGGCGGCTACGAATAACAAAAATTAACAATTGGCGGGAAAATATATACAGCCAATGGAAATATATATGTTGGAATCGGAGAAGGTGACATAGGCGTGAAATAAAAAAAAACAAGGAAAAAAAGAAAAAACGAAAGAAAAAAAGAAAAGAAAAGAAAAAAACGAGAGAAAAAACCATTCTAAATATAGCAATGAACGGTCCAGATTACGTGTACACTGAGTGGTAATGCATTAGTGTATGTATGCATACATATATATGTATGTATGTATGATGTATGTATGTATGTGTATGTGTGTGTGTTCTGTACGTGCGTAGATAGGATCTTGGGTAGTAAACGCATGCGAGCAACGAGCGAGCGATCGAATCCAATACGAGTCGAACGCATCCGTGTGTATTAGTTAGTTTCATGCATAAAACATTTGCCATAAATCCATAGTAAGATTGCACGATCGAAGGAGAACCGAATTTTGATCGATTCGACCCCGGGATACGCGGTCGAATAGACCGTGTAATCGTCGAGAAAACAATGACAGATTTGTCCCTTCCATCTCGTTTCCTCTCTCCATCATCCCTACTCCATACTTATTTATTTAGTTACTTACATATCTTAGTATTACAGAACAGAATTATGTAGATCACGTCATCGCGACGCAAAACTACGGACGGAGATTTTCTTCTCCTTCGAGACTACTAATCCTTTCGTACATATATACATACATATATATATATACTTCGATTTTTTTTTTTTTAAATTTTTTATTCACAAGTATTATTGAGATCGTTGTCGTTGATTGAATCTCATAATGAAATTATGAAATGAAATAGAAAACCTATAATAATAATCTAAACAATAATATTGATATAGTTATTGGTTTTATTTTTCTTTATTTATTTTCTTTTTATTTTTTGTTTTTCTTCGAAACAAATTCGTTCACTACAAATTCTTAGAAGTTTATTCCTTCGACATTAATAAGTTTTCTCTCTTTATCTCTCTCTCACTCTCTCTCTCTCTCTCTCTCTCTCTCTCTCTCTCTCTCTCTCTCTCTCTCTCTGTTTCCAAAGTCGTTCTTTATAAATGCGTTTTATGTCGTATACCGAAGGAAATCTTAGCAAGTACGAGAGTAACGATGGTAATCAAAGGACACCTCTCTTCCACATACATACATACTTATATACAACATACATACATACATACATATAAACACACACACACATACATACATACATGGCGTGAAAGTTTTTTTCCTTATGCGACATGCGTCTCGAACGAGTCGAGGTTCTCCGTGACGTCGTCGTCATCATCGTCGTCTTCGTTGTGTCGTTGTCGTCATCGTTTTCGTCGTCGAGAAGCTCAGCGACAAATTTAACCGAGAAAGAAACCGATCTCCCCAAAGCAAAAGGGGACTTGTAGGGGGTCTCGTACAAAAGAACGTTCAAAATCATACTTACTAACTCGTTTTTTAATCGCAATCTCGTTGCAAATATCCCCCAACACAATCTTAAACGCGATCAGCAGTAAAATTCAAGGAGTTTCGCCATTTTTGGACATACCGTGCAACTTGAGAAAACAGTTACGCGTCGTAATCCGCTTTGCTTTATCGATTCTACGGAATATGACTCATCTGAACACACCGTAGTAGATCGTTGACATATGATTTTTTTCCTTTCTCTCTCTCTCTCTCTCTCTCTCTATATATATATATATATATATATATATATATATATATATATATATATATATATCATCTACCTATCTTTCTCTATCTTCTTTATGAAATGTTTATAATACGCGTAGGAACTCGTCTTGGAGTTGTTTGACTATAGTTATTATACTCGTCTCGTTTCTATCATTTCTAATGTAAAAGTTTCTGATGAATACGTACGTATTTTTATTTATTATTAAACAAATTCTCTACATGCAATCCTTGTTCGTATAATAATTTAATCATACGATTTATTTATCAAACGACAAAAAAATGTCACGATTTAAGAAAAATAAATAAATAAATAAATAAATAAATAAATAAATAAATAACGGTTAAACGCACAAGGTATGTTTCTTTTTCTTCTTCTTTTTCTTATATATCATTCGCTTACTTATTTATTTCCAAATCGTTATATAACGATCACAATGGACAATTACAATCACCGCTTGACTACAGATGATTGACAATGAACGAGAATAATATAATAACGCCATTTATGTCGATGTGTATGTATCTTAAAACGTGACTCAATTAAAAGAAAGTTATTATTAGAAATGCTTATCAATATTTTGTGATTTGCGTTTAAACGTTAACCGGTTGACTCTTATTCTGTTATACTTGACAATAGTTGTGCTTATTTAGACGGAATAAAATTTCGGATGAACATAATCGAATTTTGTATAACGAATATATGTATATATATATATATATATACATATACATATATGTACATACATACAAACATACATATAAATATATTTTTTCTCATTAAGAACGAGAGGAACCATTTATATCGTACGTAAGTATTTGAGTGAACTCGTATCCCCAGGACGAATCCATCTTCTCATCGAGGGGACTGGCTCGATTTCGCAAACGTTTACTAAACCCTATAAACCCCTTAAAAGGAATACGATACACTCTCCTTATAGTTCCGTGAACTATATCGGTTTGCACCTTTCGAAGTTATGCTTGAATTGCTTCTTGATGATCCTCGAACTTTTGAACTTTTGAACTTCAAAAGAGTATATGTGCATATGTATTTAAGCATCTATGTATATATGTATGTATGTACGTGCCACATAATTATGCAAAATAAGATATCTTTTCATCAAATCAAAAAATGAGTTAATTTATTCGCACGTAAGTATGCATCTCTCTTACGAATAATTTCATTCGTCAATTTACTATTACGAAAGAGAGGGAGAGAGAGAGAGAGAGAAGGATGGATCCTAAAATCTAAAATTTAATATTATAGTAATAATAAGGTTGAGAAAAGTATTCAATATTATTCTTGTTCCTTGAATTTCGGCGGATGAGCACCCCTGTACGCAACGAAACGAAAGAGTAGACGGAGAGTAAAGAGAAGAGGGAAAGAGAAAGAGAAGGAAAGACAGAGAGAGAGAGAGAGAGAGAGAGAGAGAGAGAGAGAGAGAAAGAGAGAGAGAGGAAAGGAGGGAGTATCATGCAGAGGAGGGGTTGTCACTCGGCACACCCCACTCCCACTACATGGTCATCTAATGAAAGCGTACTCGAGGAAAGGATATTCATCAACTATGTTGTTTTTTTTCTAGTTCTCTTCTTCTTCTTCTTCTGTTCCTTAACGACTACAATTCGTGCGACGATTCCTTGCGTCTAGACTGCTTAGCGACTAGACTACACTCTAAAGAAAGAGAAAAAGAAAGAAAGCAAAAGAGAGAGAGAGAGAGAAAGAGAGAGAAAGAGAGAGAGAGAGAGAGAGGAGCGCGCATTCGCACGTGCTTTATCCGCGCGTAACCGCAGCACCAAAGATATAATATATATGTATATATGTACGCGCGTATGTATGTATGATGTAGGTATGTACGTGACGATAGGACACACCACACGACTATAATGAAAATTCTTCTGGCATTCTTCTTTCGAGTTCTTTTTCTTTCTTTTCTCCCTTTTTTTTCTCTTAACCCTCTTTAGACAGTTCTTTTTTTTTTATTCTTTGCTCCGTTTTAAAAGTTGCAAAAATAAATCTGTCATAAGAATGACCGATACCAATTGGAATTCGTCACGTAGAGACATCGCTTTATGATCGATGACGGCTATCCTTTTGCCATTTACGGAGCGTTTACGGGGTGTTCGCCTTTCCATGCTTATCCGCGCGTTTCCTACGGAGTCGCGAAGGAAAGGCGGACCAACGGACAAGGGGAGGAGACAAGAAGAGAACGAAGGAGGGAAGTAAGAAGGGTGAGGAAGGAAGGGAGAGAGAGGGAGAGAAAGAGAGAGAGAGAGAGAGAGAAAGAGAGAGAGAAAGAGGCTCGAAGATCCGTCGTGATTGTCCAACGCGACCCAGACGCACCCACCCATCTATCTATTTATTTATTTATTTATCTATTTATTTTTTAGAGAGATGATCGGTGTACAAAAAATCAATTTCCTTACCTTCGGATTGCCGTTGGTTAGCCATGGTATCACGTTGTCGATGAAGAGTCCGATGTCTTCACATTCGATGCTTTTATCCGGGTCACCCAGGTAGTTCAGTATCAAATCACCGACCGAAAGTTTTTTCTTTATATCCGTCGTGGACAGTAACGGCATAAAATCGTCCATGTCCCGCGGATTTCCCGACATGGCGCCCAATAGTACGTCTAAAATGATTGTAATCTCTATCAACGTACGAGCACTGCGATCATCGGCACCATACACGCGACGCCATCTTGATTTCACTGTCCTACCGTTTCTCTGTCTTTCTCTCTTTCCTTCTCTTACTCTATTGCTCTTTCTTTCTCTCTCTCTCTCTCTTTTTCACTTACTCTTTTTCGCACTCTCTCTCTCTCTCTCTTTCTCGCTCAAGCGACAACAGCGCCACTTTAGGCACACGAGACATATAATCAAACTATTTTTCGATAGTATTATTCCTCGATATATTCGAATTGGCGCCTTTTATGATATGATGTTCTTAAAGATAGGCTATTGTGTTTCTCGATGACGATTTATCTTCGGTTGATAGTGGAAATAAACACATGTATATAATACAATCGATCGGCCACTAAGAATATTTTAAGTTTACACTTTCGTTCCTTCAGATTATTTACAGGATTGTGAAATATTATATATTTTTGCATAATGGTAAATAAACTTTTTTTTTCTATAAAATTAGTACTATTAAATTACTCCGTTTACATTTGCGATGATTTAATGAATATGTTTGTATATACATAGTTACATTTACATATACATTATTATATATTTACAATTATTATTAATAATTATGCTCTTGCGATAATCCGTAATGCTATAGCATATTAGTGAAGAAAATACTTGTTGAAGTCTATGATTCATAATTTACATTGAGAACAACAACATGATTATTAATTAATTTGCCTAAGTAGAGTCAAAAGGTTTTTACATTTAACTTTTATGATGGAAGAATCGTGCAAAGTACCTCCCTCTTAGATAATGATTTCACAGAAATTATTACGGTCTGTATAATATTGCCAAATAAAATTTTAAGAAAAAAGAATAATTTATCGTGTATTTTTTCTATAAGTCTCGTTTTGACAAAATAAAAATTATAAGTTTAAAGAGCTAACTTTAATAAGACACATTTATATAACATTTTCTGCTTAAAAAATTTCCAAATTTAGAATATAATAGCAGAAAAAATATAGTATTTCATAATTTTATATCAATTTAACTAGTTTATAAAAAAAAAATATGATAAGAAAATGTGTAGTAATTCTCATGATACTTCTTATAAAAATGTAATTGCCTCTCTTATAAAAACTGCTTTTCGTCTGTGTTTAAAATTTTAACTAATTGTGTTTTTCAGTAATTATATATCAATAATAAATAACATTTGTTAGTATGTTATATGTATGTTGTGTGTTGCATTTCTTTATCTACACTCGCACATACATACATATACATTATGTATACAATACATATATATTACTCTTTATAAATAGCATATTGCATGCACATTTTTGCAGTATTTATTACAATCCATATATGTTCCATCTTCATATTTAAAAATGCTAATAACTATATCACATCCCGCTGCGATAAAACTGGTAAAATCTGTTGTTAAGATATATATTTTAAGTAATGTCATTTTACTATATTCTCTTGGACTAATCAATACAATTTTGTATGACTGGATCATTTCTTATAATAACTTTTAAGATTATATAAGCCATAATATGTAAAACTAAAGATATTTTTTGATAAATGTTCTGCATTGTACCTCTATATTTAAATAAATGTGCTTGTTAGAATTTTTAAAATTCTGACTATTTTTATCACTTCATTCTACCTGAGTATACAGGTTATTTCCAAATTGGTGTCACTAACTTTATAGGCGTATACTACACCTCAAAACTAAAAATCTTAATAAATACAAGTCTTTCTTACATATAATTGTAAATAATTATATGTATATTGCATATTTATATTTTGCATATATATATATATATATATATATGCAACTCTTCACATACATATGTATGTAAGAAATTGTTTTAGGGAGACTATATAACATCATTGACTAATGTCAATTACTTTAATGAATTATGATTAATAGAGATCTGTTCTATATATCTTTTAATGATAAAATATAAATACTTTTTCCAAGCACTTCACTGGTGATGAATAAGAGAGATTTTCATAAAATTTGAATTTAATACTTATGATAGTTTTCTTCGTCATTTTTGTGCTATGGAAAAAGAGGCATAAAAATTCTATTCTAATGTAATTTGTTTAAGGTTAAATTATAGTTACAAAGTTTCCTACTTTGTTGATTATTAAAGTTTAATATATATTTTGTAATAGCTCTATATTTGCATCGTACAGCAGTTATTACTAATTTAAGCCAAAAATATAGAAGAGCACTGCAAATACAAGAACTGCGTACGATTAACAAGAGCAATTTATGTAATTAATTAGATATTTATTTAATATTAATATTTACTATATATTGCTTGCTTTAACGAACTTTTTTCCTATGGTTTATTATACATTGAATGAATAGAAGATTAATGGAATGATTCTTAATGATTCTCTGATCAATGTACTTCAATTAATATATATATATATATATATATGTATATTTATATATATATATACTTGCATAAAATCTTTTAGGCTTTTTAGAATTATGATAATGTATTAAAGTACACACAGATTTAAAAATAGTAATTACTGGCACTAACAAGAAAAAAGCAAGTTCAAAAGTGCATATATAAATATTTTAAAAGACAATGCAATTTCACATTCTACCTTACAGACATTCATTATATATGAAATAGTATTTACAAAATAATATTCTATATGCACCATATTTTAACTAGTCATAACTTAATAAAAAAAGAATCAAAATAGTGGATTCACGTGTACAAATGAATTTTTAACAAAAAATACTGCTTTGATATTATATAACGTTATTCAAATTTTGAACACTTTTCTTTTTTGCTAAAATGAGGTCAATATTAATAAGGAAAAGAAAGTTACTGTTGTTGCTGAAGCTGTTGTAATAAAGGACAGACTTCTACTAATGGTGTACCTAGAATCTCTTGACAAACTTGATTCATATCAGGTTCCATCATAAGAGATGATATTTGATCTTCTGTTAACATCTCCACACTAGATAAAAAAGACATAAAATTATTTACTAATAAATTATTATATAAATATATAAATGTCTATGTATATATGCAAACATAAGCATCATGCGTATATATATTTTTTTATATTTTATAATTATCAAACTTACCTGGCTAAACTTTCACTGTCTGAAGTTTCTTCATCTGCATTGAGATAAGTCATAGTTTTTTCTAGAGGACTTGGAACCTTCTTTCCTTTCGATTCTGATTTTTCAAATTTTTCCTTATCTCTTTCACTTGTTTTTGGTTCACTAGAACGCCGTTCTGTTAGACCAGATATGTTTAGCATCATCATTCCATGATTTAACAATTCTTTGACTCGTTCTCCTGTTCCTCCACCCCATAACATATCCAAAGATTGCCTTCTGCTTGAATTAGCTAAAAAATAAAATATTTTACATATTTAAATCATTTTAATCATCGTATAAATAATATGAATTATTTAAAAGCTTCTATAACATACCAGAACTACCATCACTCATTTCATTGGCAGCAGAACTTCGAGTAATCCAATTAGACAAACTACTATCCAGTTTACCCTTACTTCTTATTGATGGACTTCGTGTGACTTCTGCCCTCTTTTCTTCACTTAAACTAACTTCATTCGTTCGCGTCATCAAAGGTAATGATTTCTGTGAAACTAATCGTTTCCGATTATTTTGATCATTATGTAATGCTTGAATATTCACTGAAAGAATTGGAAGCTTGATATTTTCAGGGCTCAAATCCATTGGTAAAGGTTTATAAGGAATTTGATCTTCTTCATCGGAATAGATGTCGTTGTTGTAATAAATTTCATCCGGAGAATTGTTTAAACTAATTTCTGTCCATTCTTCGCCATTCTGTGTTACAGAATTATTTTTCTCATCGCGCACAGGTGATTGAATCTTAACCTTCTTTTCAATAGGAGATATAATGCTAGAAAGATCAGATAGACGAGATGTAGAAGAACTTGTATGATTTAATTGTACGATATGTTTCGTGTCAGTTGTGGCGATGCTTCGCGGACGGTCTCGCTTTATATATTTTCGAGGTTCTGTAGTTGAAAGATTCATATTATTTAGGCCCAAATATTCAGAAGATGGATTCCTCTCAATCTATAATAAATAATACATATGATTAATTTTAACAATAATTGAAAGTAATTTATAAGTTTGAAATAATATTATATATATATATATATTATAAATTTTAAATATATATTATTTACTTTGGTAGGCACAAGACAAGGAGTACTTGGACTCATTCTGTCAGGGAGACGTAAATATTCATCACTAGTATAATCTGTACTATCTGGTGAACCGGTTACACTTGAGTCAGTTGGAGTAGCTGTATTTGTCTGTATAGAAGAAGGATCTGTACCATCTCTTATATGTTTTCCATAATCATCTGCAGTATCACATTGTCTTGTCTAAAAAAACGAAATTTCTTCAATTATTTCCAATTATACAAATTTAAAAGATTTATTTTATAATACTTACTCTATGTATCTCATCGCTAATACGTTCCAAATTTCTCAAAGCTTCTGCATATGTCATTTTAGCATCACCAACTGACCTCTCCAATACACTAACTTTCATCTTTTGTTCTTCCAACATTTGATTGAAATGTGCTTTCATTTCATAATAAGGCCTGCATATAATTTATGATTTAATGATAAATAATTGTATCTAATATAATAATATAAAGTTTAATTATTTAAAATATTTAATTTGAAATTTATGGAGATTGATAGAAGAACCATAATCTACATTTTATATTTAATTTACAATACAAAAAAATGAAACATCTTCATTTTTTGCAGATACATATTTTCATAAAGTGATTTTGATAATATAAATATTATATTAATATATTTATAAATATACCACTCATGCACAAACAGGATGACAATTCAAAAATAAAATTTCAAATGATGCTGGTTTAATAGCTCACACAAAATAAAATATAAAACAAAAAAAAGATTATCTATCCTACTTACAACATGAGCAAGTTGTGCCTGTAGGCGATACTGTTTATCAGAAGCAAGCTGCGACGTGCACCCATACTGCCAACATGAATATAACCAAAAGACATAAATATCCTAACATCTATATAAAAAATCATATCTACATTCAAGAATATTATATTAAATATAATTGGTGGAGAAAAAGTAAATGCAAACACTACCAAATACAAAAGAAAAAAAAATATATTTAAAAAGAAATATAAAAACTTGATAATAATGTATAATCAAGACACTTTTGTCAAATAAAGGGTTCTAGCTTATTAAATTAGCTGGGTTGTTTGTTTAAAAATGCAATAACTTCCATGCAATAATAATATCATTGAAATTGTAAACAATACTTTAACACATAAATTAACAGTTATTCATACCTTGACTTGGCAATAGCACGTTTCAATTCTCGTTGTAATCTTTGGACTTCATGTTCTGCTTTATGGTACAACGCAGTCGTATGCCTATGTTCTGCCTCAGAAAGAGCTCGTTCATGTTCTGACTCATTAACTCTAGCTGTTGCATGATTTAACATTTCCTATATTTATGTTCAATAAAAGATTACAAAAGTAGAGATCTTTGTATTTACTATAACTTATTTATCAATATTTTGCATTTAAATTATGATGTATATATATATATATACATATATATATATATATATGTATATATATATATATATGTATATATATATACCTGCCACGCATGATCAAAACATCTCCCTTCTGTTCTTAATCCCTCTTCGGCTAAATATACCATCTCTTTGGCAGCTGCATGTTGACTATTGGCTCTTTCAAATCTAATTGCAGCCTTTTGTGTCTCTTGTAACGCCTACGATATATTATTATTTATCTATTACATAATTTATGTAATAATATTATATATTATTATAATTATTATTCTTGTAGTTACTTCTTTTGCTTTAAATCTAGCATCATAATAAGGTCTAGATTTTTCAATACAGGCTCCAAGTTTCTTAGCCAGAGAATCAATTTTAATAGTAGATTCACACAATAACTCCCTGAATGTGGCCCTTGCTTCCTAAAATAAAAATAAAATATATATTTACTAGTATTTGTCTATATATATATTTTTTTTTTCAAACATAATTATAATAAAACAAATTATTTATGAATGGAATCTAATGTATAATATAAAGCAATGTAAAATACATGTATCGTAATTTATCCTGATAAGGCAAATCAGTACAAAGTCTCACGTCATGAATAGTTTCTTTAGCTGTCATTGTGATAAACGACTATGTAGATGATCATCTTCATGAGCTATTATCCATTTTGCCTGTATGCTATACATCAATCACTTCAATGAAATCTAGTCAGAACTCGTTTCAAAACTTGCAATTAATTTGAACCTTTGAAGAATACATGTTTTCTAATTTAAACTTTAGTTAAATTAAAAAAAAAAAAAACAAAAAAAAGATAAAAAAAGAAAAAAGTGGATGATAAAAATTAAAAGCATGGTCATGTACATTTTTATTATACTCACATCCAAATCGACTTCAAGTTTATTGATGTCATCAGTAGCTGTGTTCAATCTTTCAAGTTCAATCTGTAATAATTATTACAGTGATATAAAAATTAATATATATGTAAAGTCATTATGAATGTACAGTAATATGTAACATATTGTTATATACATGATAAAATTAAAAAATTAGAAAAGATATCTAAGTAATTTGTAAACATAATGAAAACGATTGAGATATTTAATATTTTCTTCTCTTTCCTTTTTTTCTTATTTCATTTTATTTTAATACAATTTACTTATGTAACGGTAAATAACAAATTTACCGTCATAATTTGTCTCGTGCCAATTGTGATAAAACAGTTTCCATAGGGAAAATGGAGGGGGTGGAGAAGAAACTAAATGCATCGACCATATTTTCTAACGTAACAAATGACATACAATCGAATAAAATTAGAAAATACATATCGAGCTTGTACAATAATTTAAACACGGTACGAATGTATCTTGACGTGTAAAAACACAGTCGATAAAAGCTGCTGATCGCATAATACGGAAATGTCAATGTCGTAAACGCCTGATCACGAAAGCCATGACACTCTGTTTGTTTAAGAGAAAAATTGTCTTACCTGTACTCTAGGATCCACCGCATCGTCAACACGATCAGAATCATCATCACATTCCTTTTGTACACGTCCACTCATAATTAAAGCTAAAAATGAATTTTATTTACAATTTTTCATGGCACCTATATCGTCTGCTACATATCAGGTAGCCATGTTGGATGTTAGAACATATCCGCAGGGCCGTGCGTAGATCGTTCTGCTAATCGACGATTACTTAAGACATTAAAATATAAAGCAAGAACTTTTTTTAAAAACGACAATATGTGTAATATTATTATCTATCTATTGTAAAAATATACTAGAATATTCGATATAAAATTTGATAGATCATTCTCGAATAAATCATTTAAAATTTTAAGCACGAGGTCAGGGTCAATTTTTATGTATGTATGTTTCAAATCGAAGATTCACAGATTTGCGACAATCATGCAGTTAGGAACGATCTAACATGGAACAGAATTATCGTACGTATAGACGTCAACAATGTCGAATCATACGATAATTGAATGAAACGTGCTTGAATGTTATAAAATCAGAACAAACTAAAAGTTATTCGCATGGAAACGTTGAATTTTTCATGTAATACGTTATTTAGAAAGTTATGCGTTATACGTAACACTGTGTATTTACTTATATTTGACATCATTATTTGAATTGCAAAAATAAATCTTCGAGCGTCAAATGTTAATCATTTCAATATGACAAGGAGGAAGATAATGAAATATGAAAATAGATATGAAAACAAATTTCTTCAAGGCTATTTATATTTTATTTATAACAAAACAAATTGGAACTTTTTAAGGTGCAACAAGGAGCATTATTCGATAATTATGAAAAAGAAAAAAAGAAATGAGATACAAAAAGAAGAAGAAAGAAAGAAAGAAAAACGATAAAGATTCTCATTTCTCTATCGAAATTACGAATTCGAATGTTCGCGCGGTTTTGTACGACCGTACAGGCATCAATATGGTGGCGATAGAAGTAAAAACTTGACTACGTGAATAGAGGGCACTTCAGCGGCGCGATACAGCTGGTCCGTTCGACTCCTGAAACCGAATTGTTTCTCATTCGTTTCGGTGAGTTCTTCACTGTCGGAGCAAGTGAACATATTACGAGTAGACAAACAGGCAGCGGCAATAGGTAGGTTGTGGAAACGTCAAAAAGTAAAGATTGGAGAATTGGACGAGAATCCTCCTCGAACGTTGTCAACGGTGAGTGTAAAAAAAAAAATATATATACATACGTATATATATATACATATATATGTATATATATATTTACTTTCACTTCCCTTCTCGATTATAATACCCTTGTTTCCGGTCTCGAATGGAATTTCTTCTTCTCTCTCTCTCTCTCTCTCTCTCTCTCTCTCTCTCTCTTTCTCTCTCTTTCTTTCTCTCTTTCAATTTTCTTTTATTTTCTTTTCCTTAACATTCTTTACCGGCTTAACAAAGAAACCGCTTAGCTTCTCTGAAGTCTAAGAAAATTTAGTCAGTGGAGAACGAGAAGAAAGGGAAAAGAGCTTTCGAAGCGTGCCAGCGAACTGGTGACTTTCTATTTCGGCATTTTTATGCATATCTATGGTATTGAGGAGCGGGGAGGTAACTAGAGTTAAAGAAAGGATAGGAGGGAGGATTCGAGAAAATCACGAGAGCGAGGATGCAACTAGCCGATGAAGGTCCTCCCATCATTGGGTTTCGCGGTCGAAATATGGATTCATATTATCGACAATTCGATAGTTGTTCTATGTAAGCTCGATTGTTTTACCGTATAAATTTTTTCTTCTTTTTTTAATCCAACTTCATCTCCCTTATTTACTATTATAAATCTTCTCTTTTTATCTCTCTCTTTCTCTCACTCTTTTTTTCTCTTTCTTATCTCTCTTCTCTTTTCTTTCTTTGATTTATTTTGCATTTTCTATATTACCTCATTCGACCTTCACAAGACTAAAGATAAATATTTACAATGATGAGATAGATAGCTTTTGAAAAAGCGCGCGCGCGATTACTTTCAAATATAATCTTCGGCTAATCTCGATTGTTTCCGATTCACGAACGAACGAACGAACGACGAACTCGTGAAAAACAAATGACTCTCTCGGCTATTCTTCCACGAATACTTTCATTTTTATCGTTCAATAAAGAAACGCTTTTCTTTCTATCGAAGAAAATTCTGTTTAAAGGAAGAGAAAAAGGAAAAATATTCGAGGAATCCAACGGAGTTCAAGAAGAAAAGAAATGAAAGAAAGAAACAAAGAAAGAAAGAAAGAGGGAGAGAGAAATCAACAAATTTTTTCTATGAAAGAATTATCATTTTTATACATTAAATTGGCCTTTGAGAATGTGTACTCTCTTAACTGATACTTTCGCGAGTTACTTTTACATTTTATAATGTCGTTGAAACGATCGATCTCTTAAGCGAATGGAATGTTGTAGGTGATATGCGAGAGAAACTGCATATTTCCTCGATGTAACTACGTATGACAAGTATGTATGTGTATATGTATATACATATATATATATGTACGGATGCATATACTTTCCCAGTAGGTTAAAAAGACATGGAAAGATGACGAGCGAAGGTCATGAAAAAGTAATTACGCGCGATAAATGACCAAGTGGTAATCTTGATATAAGGAGAGGGAAAGAGGAAGGTTCTGCGGAAGATAAAGAAAAAAAAAAGAATAAAAAAGAGATGGTAGAGAAGGAGAAAGAGAACAAAGAGAAGGGGAATTTTATTTTGTTTTTCTTTTTCTTTTTTTTTTCCTCCGTAATGAAAATAGAAAGCGGGTTAATGTACGTATAAGAAAGATTTTCAATGTCATGGTTACGCAAAACGGAAGGTTACACGTGTACGAGACGTAGTACTTCATTTCGTTGACATTGTAAGTACAAATCATTAAAGAATCTATTCGAGCTAGTTCGATTTTCTCGAATTGTCCTATTATCGAACAAAGAGAACGACAGTATGTATATATATATTTTGTTTTTCTTTTTTTTTTTTTCTCAAAAAAATCAACGACGGAAACGATTGGCTTTTAAATCATCGACAATATGATGAAACATTCTTTATGAACTTTCTCTATTTTACAATTTTCATTATCGAAACACTTAATCGACGTATTAAATATTTTTAAATATCATTCTCATAGAAATAGATATTTAAAATACGTATGATATTGTAAAATATTAATTACGTTGATATTATCGTTTCCAAAGCTCATATGGCTCGAATTTCGTTGGCCATAGGAGGTTGTTAAGATGAGTCAAGGACGAGTATAGTGAAAAATATACATTCGCTCTCGTCGACGTCATCAGTGGTAACTACAAATGTCAAAAGCTATCTTACAAAGTGTACTTGTTGCCATCGCCCTCCCTTCTCCTGCCCCTCCCCCCACTCCACCCTACCAGCAACATCTTCAGTGCCCTCTCCCTCCTCCCTCCGTTGCCATCATAACTATGGCAAAGAAACATCTCTTCTAGGAGAAATTTGTGTCGTTAAGCGTCAGTGACTCGACTCTTTTCATGATTTTTGCAAGCAGTGCGATATATTTCGACGTGACGTCCATTTTCGTTAAAGCACGAAGAGCACACTCTGTGTATGTGTGTTTATATATGTATATATGTGTGTTTATATATGTATATATATGTGTGTGCGTTTGTCTGTATCTGTCTATCTGTATGTGTATATATACGCGTGTGCGTATGCATGAGTGTATGTATTCACGTACATATCACGTATGTTTCATGTTGCTCGTGAAAGTATTTGTAAACTCTTTCCACTCGACTAGGTTTCGTTGGTGCGCAAGTTCGATGATTTGCAATTTTCTGCTTTTTCTTAAAGAATCGTTCTCGCTTATTCGCACGGTGAATTCTCCAAACTGCAATCATTTAAAATTTTCATCCAAGCGAAAATATATATATATGTATTGCGGATAATGTCTTTCGATATGGTTCCAATTGTTTATGACTATAATCTTTTTTTTCTTCTTTTTATATTCTTTTTCTTTCTTTCTTTCTTTATTATCATCAACATCATCATTATCATCATTATTTTTCATGCATCAACGTTGCACAGAACTCAGTCGTACCTTTTTCTTTTTTTATCGCATCTATATTTTCAATTGATTTTCAAAATAGAACATAGAGGGAAATATATATATATCAATGAAAATTAACTTTATCGGAAGGACGATCAACGTTAACGCAATTAATATTGAAAATAAAAATTCCATTGATATCTTCTTCCTTTTGATTACGTTATTATTCGTTCGACATATTATGACGTCGTGCAATTTTAAAAGGCACGATTATGGTATTATGCGATTACAAAACTTCATTTGTGTTTTCTTTCAATCGTAACAATCATCGAGGCGTATACGTTCATTACGTCGATTATGTAACGATAAGAAACGTTCGTTGGTCTCGAAAAGAGGTCCTTTTGATTTTTCTATGATGAAAAACTCAATCTTTTCAATTGGCCCTTCGAACTTATTTATTTATATTTATATTTATATTTATATTTATATTTATATTTATATTTATATTTATATTTACATAGAAGAACGGAAGATCGAGCTGGCCGAGAAAGTGCAGGTTGGCTTGATTGTAGGGTGTGCACATCCGCGAGCAAAATCCTTTTACGTAAGTTACCTTCTCGCTTTGAGATTAAAATCACAGTGTAAAAGCTGTTAGCATGAACTATGGAATGTTGCTCATCGCTTGGCACCTGGTCACATTAGTCATTATTTTTTTCCTTTAAAATAAGAAAATATATGCACCGAAAAATTGTCTTATCGAACAATGTATAACATTTACTTGCTTATTTATACCGCTAATTGTTAACTTTAATTTAACTATTTATTTATTCTGGTCCGTTATTTTTAATAGTTTTATCGGTATTTAAAATAAATAGTACGTATTCTATAATAAAATATTAATGGCTGACAAATCTTAATCATTTATGTCAATCAAAATATTTTAACGGGATGTTATTTATTTCGGGGTCAGTATTTTTAAACGTTTAATCAGTATTTCAAATAAATTGTCGACCTTCATAATAAAATATATTTATTTAATATTAATTAATCAATGGCGACCCTTAATTGTTTATATCGATCAAAATATTTGTATAGTTATGATCATTTATTTTATAAAATATTTATTATTAATTAATAAAAATACTGAGCGAATAAATAATAATATTAATATAATATATCACTTGCCAGCAATTAAATAATTAAATATCATTATCAATTAAATGTCATTATCTAAAAAGAAAATAATCGTTAATGAATTTAAATCCATACGATTATTCAACAGTTACGGTAAAATATCAATTGTTTTCATATTCGATGATATTTACATATGTATATAAATATCAGTGCGATTATACGATTCAATGAAATAATTAGATCATGAAATTGTCGATAAAGAACGAGATTATGAAAGCATTAATCTATATTTATCGTGATTTCGTAACTTTAGAAAGATCTTTTATTTATTGAAATTCAAATGATTCAAACATATTATATATATATATATATATATATATATATATATATATATATATATGTTTTTATTTACGTATATTATTTTCGTGTTACTTTCGATTCCATTTTTAGTATATTCGCCATCACGTTTGTTTTCATTTGCTGAATCCTAACCGAGCGAAACACTCACGTTTATCTTGCAGCAAGCACCGAAGTGTTTCGTTGGTTGGTTGGTTGGTTGGTTGGTTGGTTGCTTGCTTGCTTGCTTGCTTGCTTGGTAGCGCATCTTGGGAACAGGTTAGCAGCTGCGGACACCATACGGCAGGTATATATACATACATGCATACGTACGTACGTACGTACGTACATGCATACATAGCTCGTTTCATTCTTCCATTTACTTATTGCTTCCGATGTATTAACCTTCTTTTTATCTATCTCATCATGATAGAAGCGAGTTAGGTTCCATAGTGTAATAAAGACTATTTTCAAGGTTAAAATTCTTGAATAGTGTCAAGAAATTCAATGGAATTCGATAAAAATTATTCCGAATGAAAAATGTGCTAGCACATTACCTTCTTATCATCCATTAAACAAGCTACTTAGAATGTATTATTTTGTGACATCATAGATCTACAAATTTTGCGTGATTTTATAATATTATTACACAGAGTAAGCGAACGCTTTCAATTTGAAGAGAGGAGGAGAACAATGAGATACAATGGGCGTTCTAGTGCCACAGAAAATATATGTATTTATCGTAATCCGTGACGTGTCGAAATTAGCGATTATTTCTTTTCCTTTTCCTTTTTTTGTTTTTTTTTTTTGTTTTTTTTTTTAAGCAAACCTTTTTATGCGAATCAATTTCGTTAGTCTTACTTTCACTACAATAATAGCGATATCGTAAAAGAGACTGAATTGTTTCGATTATGATATAAGCGATAGGTTCGATATTATCTGATCTCGTAAATGGCATGTAGACGGTAATAATTTGCTAAATGTCACTTATGTGTATATATATATGTATATATATATATATATATATATATATATATATATATAAATAAACGAAATTAGTAAATGCAAGAGTTAAGAAAACAAAACGAACATTTATTCTCCAAATTATAATTATGTTTAAAACAAAATGCATAAACACTAATATCTCGTATCAATTTTAGCCCTAGAAATGGAACGACTTGATTCATTTTATTTTATCTGTTAATTGTCGGTACGTTACATAAAATCATTCATTGTTTTCTATTGAGAAAAAGATCTTTCTCTCTTCGTAATACCGGTCGTGTAATTGCTGTTGCTCCCGTTGAAAGTAATGACGTAGTCACACTTAGCTTTTCTGTTATGCACTCTCGACACATCCGTCGAATAAAAAAAAAAAAACAGGAAAAGAAAAAAGGAGTCACAATAGAGACGCCCGGTATGTACAAATCGCAGAGACACAACGATACATCACGTAGTCGCGATGCACCGCCCGTACAGATACGCGTAATCTTGTTAGCCATTTCCTGCGTATTGAAATTCTCGAAATTACTGGAAAAGATTTATCTCTCTCTTTCTCTCTCTCTCTCTCTCTCTCTCTCTCTCTCTCTCTCTCTCTCTGTCACATAAACTCTCTTTCCCTGTCTCTCTCTTTCTCCCTTTTCCTCTTTCCCTCTCTCTCTCTTTTGATATGGGATTTAGTTATCGAATGGGCGGATATAACATTTCACAAAAGAGCTTTAATCCTATATAACCCAATGTTTGTTTCTCTCTTCAGAAATATTATATAATATTAATGTTATGATATAACTTATGTCATTATAGTTACTAATAGTACTAATTACTAAGTTATAACTAGTACAATTATGTTATACTAATTATTAAGTTACAAATAGTACAGTTATTTCATACTAATTATTTCTTTACTAAGTTACAACTACTACAGTTATATTATACCAATTGTAAGTACAATTAGTATAGTTATGCTGTGTACAAAGTATAGATATAAACTATACCAAATATAAGTTATATCATATACAACTATAACATTAAATATAACTACTATTACACTATTATTGTAAAAGTATACTAATAGTATACTAAATAGTATACTAATATACTAAATAGTATACTAAATAGTATACTAATAGTATACTAAAAGTATACTAAGTATAACATACTAATATATTATATCATATTAGTGTACTTTTATTATTATTAATATATTATATACTAAATATATAAGTATTATATTGGTATAGTTACTAATACAGTTACTAATATATTATAATTTACATTAAAAAAAAAAACAAAAAAAGAAGAAATATACAAAACTTAATTACTATGTTATAATTAGTACGGTTATGTTATACTATGCTACGTATAAATATAAATACAACTATACTAAATATAATATACCATACACGACTGTACTATAAGTATATATATATATATATATATATATATATATATTAAATATATAACAATTATACTAATATAGTATATAATTACTAGTAAGGTATAATATATTTAAAAAGAAAAGAAAAAAAAGAAGCATTAAAATTTTCAATAAGGGACAACGAATTTTTGTTGACGATAAAATGAAATAAAATTTTAAAACAATTAAATGTCTATATATGATATAAATGCATAACTTTAAAATTACGTGATGTTATAGAGGTTTAATCGAAAATTAAAGAGAGAGAGAGAGAAAGAGAAAGAGAGAGAGAGAGAGAGAGAGAGAGAGAGAAAGAGAGAGAGAGAGAGAGAGAGAGAAAGAGAAAGAGGGAGAGACGAATTTCACACCTCTTAAAATGGAGATTAACGTCAGTCGAGATAGTTCGTTTCCTCTCATCGATACGCTCGATTAAATTTTGCTTACGCATGTTGATAATCCAGTTTTGACGACAGTTACATTATAAAACGTAATAAATATTGTACGTGGGTATATGTATGTGACCATAGATAGATAGGATGGAAAAGGCGAATCGAATCAGTTACTTACATTACTTTCCCCACTTTCGCGTGTGCTCGCGCGCACACACACTGTACGTTAAACTATTCGTTGAAGGAGACTAACGAGTAAACCGAATGGCGAGCAATTCGAGAGTCTTTTTACTAGCAATTCGGTATTGTCACGATAGAGAGCGAAACCGGAACTCGAGAAAGTTCATAAACAAACGATTGAGACTCGTAGAAATACGAAACTGGAAAGAAACTTTTTGTATTTTTAACGTATTTACATATTAACGTATGTATATGTGTACATATATATATATATATATATATATATATATATATGCGTATTACGTACCTATGTAAAAGTGTTATCCTTGAAAAATCACTATAATTATTTTTTATCAGTTTTAATTTCTAATTTGAAATAGATATATGTCCGTTTTTCTCAATCACGATTTTATAGAAATTATTATATTTTTGAAAAGTGCACTTCTAAGAAATCGTAAGAGGAAAGATGAAAACAACGATTGCGTGCTATCATCTCTCTGGTATTTGATTGTATAATGAATGGGAAGAGAAAACCGGTTTTTCTCTCTTTTTTTCTTTATTTTTTTATTTTTATTTTTATCTCTTTTGTTTCTTTCTTTCTTTTTTTTTCTGTATCATCAAATGATCACATTTCAATATCTGTCGATATTGGAATACATCTTCGTTAATTATCTTGTTTGTTTTTCATCATCGTCATCTTTATTTTTGTTTTATAGAAATATTACCAATTTATTTTGTTGAACTTTAAGTTTGATCCTTTTGTTAATGACATTTCTTATATATACCTTTTTGATTGCGTATTTATTTATTTCCACGATGTAACGAAGATCGGTGTGGGAATTTTTGACGGGCTTCAAAAACCCGTTACCCATTGTGAATCGAATACCTAATAAGTTTGGTTGCATAGTGTCCGTTGATTCCCAATCCGTTTGATAGGACATATAACCTGTTTACGTTTTCTTTCGACGAAATTTCATCGGTGATTTATGCTTTTATTTTGGCGAATTTTTGCGAGAACAACTTTACTGCGTACATATTGAATAAATACATATATATATATATGTATGTGTGTGAAAATATTTCGAGATTTTACTAGTTAAATTTTATTGTCAAGAATATACTTCTTTCCTCTTTTATCTTTTTTTTTTTCCATCGTCTCTTTTCCCATGGAAGAAAATTTACGAGTATGTTTATATTATAGATTAGAAGTTAGAAAAGACCGCTCTGTTATTCGAGTCTTATTACGAAGTTACTCTTCAAAGAGCAGTACTATTTTGCCGACGGGATTTAGCTCGCGTATTTAGCACAACGAACATTCAAAGAGTTTAAACGATAAGATCATCGACATTATACCTCTTATACGAGCGATAGTTTATAAGAAGTTATATACATATGTATTTGCATAAAAATTCAAACATATGCGAATAATGAGGAAAACGATTGAAGAAAATGTTATCCGAGTTTCCTTTATCTATTTATATTTTGAAATATTGAGAACCACTAATGATGATCATTTCGATGTACATACATATAAATATATATATATACATATATATATATATAAAAGTACATCAATACATAATTACATACTATAAAATTCTTTGTTCAAATTGAGGAAAGAGAAACGTATTGAAAGTTGTTTTGAAATGAAACAGAGTCGTTTGTTTGTTTGTTTTGCTTTTTTTTTTTATAATTAGATGTAAAGTACGTCTATTTCGTAATTGTATTGTACGGTTGTTTTCAAATACGAACTAACATTGTTAGATGTTATATGTCGACATTAAAATCGTCGCGACAGACTATGAATGAGACACGTTCGTCTCTCGCCAATAATACATCTTTCTTTGAGCTGGTTCTTTCCTTGATAAGGAACGAACCGTTCAATGAGGGAAGAGGACGAACGACGACGTTGCTCTCGGCCGTGGCTGGTACCACCATCCTCTATCCCTTCTCGTTCTACCGGATCGTCTACCAACACTGATCTCCTCTAGTGTATCCGTGTATGCTCGCATATCGTCGCGGTTAATACGTCTCACAATCAATCTTTTTTATTTATTTTCTCTTATAATATTCCAATATCTAAAGTCCATCTTATGATATAGAATTTCATAACTCTTAATAGAACAAAATCAATGAATACGAATGACTTTAGACCGATCGTAAAATTTCTTTCCAATTACATGCGCGCGGACGAAGTTCGTTTCATAAAAAAAAAGAAAAAAAGAAGTTATATATGTATATATACATATAAATATTAATTTTTTGTAATATACGATAAAAATAAACAGATGAAATCAAAAAGACTAGATGATAATAGCCTTTTATTATTGTAGAAATATAATAGGAGACCTGCGTTATATTAAACTAAGGAATCGTTCTCCGCATGGTGGCGACAGTATCGCATCAAGGACCGCGCCGACGCCATTACCACATCTTCCCACTAGCATTAGTCTCTTGCGAGCCGTCGGTTAGTGCGGAAGCGGCTCGTATCTCACTCTCTTTTTCTCTCTTTTTCTTTTTTTCTCACTCTTCGGATTATGTAGTTATCTTATTATACTTGTTCCTTTTTCTCTTTTATCTTTTCTTTTTCTCTTTCTCTATCATTCTTTTCGTATATTTTCACTTGTTTTATACGATATCGTGTCATTGATATTGTTCAGTGCGTTTCATGCAAATTAACATTTGAAGAATTTGATGAATTTCTTCATACCGGCGAAATAGTTTTAGGTGAGTTAAGTTTTTGTAGATATATTTATATATATATATATTTTTCTTTTCTACGGTAGATATACAATTAAAAAATATCAAACAGGAAGTTTTAAAAAAAGCCATAGGAAAGTTGTAAAATGATACAGTTAAGTGCCCACATCATAGTACTTAGATAAGAATATCCTGTTTCTAGTTATCGTTTACCTTTGAAAGTTCGTTGGACAAATGATCCGAAGGAACCGCTCGGTTATTGGCCGATAAGTTATATCCAATGAAATTGATCTTCGCCGTTGCATAAATTATTTAATTATTTACTTACTTAATTATTTACTTACAAATGATTTATTTATTTTCAACTTTAAATGAATTTCATAAGACACCAATAACGATGCCAATAACACGAAATGTTCGTGATAATGAGAAACAGAGTAGAAGCAATTAACACTCTTAACGACGAGTTTCGAGTGTTCAATATCCACGATGTTATTTAGTTGCATAAAATTTCATAGATAGAGAAAATAAATAAACGAAAAAAGAATGAAGAAAAATATAAGATCGAAATATTCGTCTCTATAATATTCCGGAAAAAAAGGAATAGTTAACTCGAGGCTCGGAATAAATCTAGGTCCGCGTCACCCTAGCGACTAGTTACTGTCCGCGACGACTCTTGCGCGACCCAGAAACATTCTCTTTTCTTTCTCATCGCTTCCTCGAGGGCAATAGAACGCGATTGCGCGTACTTACTTGCATCGAAGTTCAAAGTGTCTAGCGACTAACAGTTATATTACTATTTTTTTCACTTCTTTTTTTTTTTTTTTTTTATTCTGTTTATTTGCTTCTTTCTCTCTATCTTCCCTCTTTCTGTCTCTATCTCTCTCTCTCTCTCTTTATTTTTCTTTTTGCCTCTTTCTCGGCGACCAACATCGAGGTCACCGCCATATTAACCTCCCCGCAATACACGCGAACTTATCATCGTTGCATTTAACCGACTTCGTTTATATCAAAGTTGGAAATCGAATATTAGATTTTCTTCAAATATAATAGAATATCGTTTGGAGTAAACACTTTTTTGTTCTTTGTTTTTTGTTTCTTTTTTCCCTAATTCTATAATTTATTCGATTACCGAATAATTCTCGAATGTTATATTTTTCGATTCTATTTGAAGTATATATTATATTATAAGTATATATTATGTATTAATATTCTTCTCACTCTCTCTTTTCTTCTCTTTTTTTTTTACGATGAAAATTGTCATCCTGTTTAATAACAGTACTTCTGATGCATATTTATGAGAGAGATTTAACAAATTATTGATCCGCATAATGAACAATATAATTTGTTGGAATAGCGAGTTAATAATTATTTACAATTAATGAAATATAAATTATTCATTTTCGTTCGATTCAATCGCTTCTTTCTTTTTATATTTGCTTTATATACCTCGTTAAGTTAAGCAAATAAATAAAATTTTATTTTTATAGTAATCTAGGTCGATACTATCAATGACTAATTATAAGACGATTATTTGTCGGAAAATTCATTTTCTGACAATATTATTAATCATATCTTTGGTGGATTTTTTCTTCTTTTTTCTTCTTTTTCTTTATCTTTTTCTTTTTCTTTTCCCCCATTAATCGAAGGAACCTCATTTGCGGTTAATTTATTTTCATCGTTGAACGAAGAAGGAGCACACCCGGAAACGCTACTTTCGCTTTTTAATGCAAAACTTTCGTTTGTATTCGCGATTGGTGCAACGTTAATAAACAGACGATGATATCTTTTCTATCATTTCACTTATTGTGAAAGAAAAAAAAAAGAAACAAAAATTTCAACATTTAATGCATGATCATGACAAAAGAAAAAAAACATGTATATAAGTTTAGGTTAAGAAGTTATCGAAATTTCTGTAATATTTCATTTGTGTTTTTTTTCGTCGGTATTTTCGATTTACGATTTACGATTAAACGAAGTTCAAAAACCAACACGTTAATTAATACTTTCTAGAATCATATTGTTTTAATCAAAAACGATTAAATAAGATAAATTCATAAAAGGATTTAGTTATTTTTATAAATTCATAAATTAAGGTTCGAAATGTATTCATACACGCTTAAAGGCACGCAATAAATATAAACTTTAAAGATAAATAATACCATTCTTTGATCATGTTTATTTGTGAGAACGTTAGAGAACTCTACAAAACTTTTTCCTTCGTTCCGTTTGTAGTTAAATGTGAAGAAAAACATTAACGTAATATACCCACACATCTGTATGTACAAACGCCTACATTTAACTATCCTCATAATTCATAATAAGAAAGTAGAATAGAGTCTGTGTACCTTCGTTTAAAGGCACATTTAGAGCGAGAATGGAAAATGTAGGGAAGAGGAGGAAAAAGGGGAGAAGATAGAGAGAGAAAGAGAGAGAGAGAGAGAGAGAGAGAGAGAGAGAGAGAAAGAGGAAAGGGTAAGAGGGGGTGTATACTTACTTGGCAGTAGTCGAATTACGAGAGCAAATTATCAAGGCGAGTGGTATACTACTATGTATCAAGAAACAGTGATGTGTTAGAATTGTTAGCGTGTATTTTACTCGTATGAACGCTTATTATTAGATATTATATTATTATTAATAACTTGTTATTATTATCCTATTATTATTATTTATTATTATTAGAGGAAAAAAGTATTTTTTGTCATTTAATTTAAATTGTATTTTATTTTGTATATTTCAGAGTTAATTAAATTGAATTCTTTTTATTTCTTTTTAAAGTTAATTCAATTGATATTTTATTATTATTTTTTTATTTATTTTATACATTTAAAAGTTAATTTAATTGATATATATATATTCTCTCTCTCTCTCTCTCTCTCTCTCTCTCTCTCTCTCTCTCTCTCTCTCTGTCTCTCTCTATCTATCTGTGCGCGTGCGTGTGCGTGCGCGCATATTCCTTTCTCCATCCATGAAAACAAAAATAAATATAGAAAATTCATACATAAAATCTTGTTACAGTTTGCTAATATTTCATAGAACAAAAGGCAGGATGCATATTACAACCACTATCTACGAAAATATTTGTATTTTACTGTGACACGTATATGCGTACATCTATATATCTAAATATATATATATATATATATATATATATATATATATATAAAGATTATTAGTTTTCCATAGACGACGAGCTCGGGATGTGGGTCAGACAGACCGCAATACTTTTCTAAATGGTTCGCCATAGTATCGTATCGACGTTATAAAGACTCGAGAGAAAGTGCGAGCAGACATTTTCTAACTGACCGCATCCGTTGTAAAAATTAGAGACTATCCCAGGTTTTACCTAGCTGAACGTACATACATGTACATACATTCTTTAATTTTAATTTTTCTTTTTTCTTTATTTTTTACTAACAAGCGAAATGAACGACTTGTTCTCGCGTTAGATTAGTTTGTAATTCATAAATAGTATCAAACTTGCCGTAGTTACTCTTTGTTTCCATTAAAATCGTACTTTTTTTTTTCCAAACTATAATATGTTATTATAGAAAAATAAGGTATGATTAATGACTTTATATGTACCTACGTTAATGATATAGAGTCAATGCTTCTCAAATTCTATGTGCCACGATTAAATTTTTAATTTAAACGTGAAATCGATCCTAATCTTTCCGTAATCGCGAGGAAATTGATTAATATTCAAGAGTTTTTTCGTAAAATATGATTACGAGTTCGAATAATAATGTAATTGACAATCGTATTTTTAAAATAATGTGGATTGACTTTTGATCTTTATCGAGACTCGTAAAAAAAACGGTACAATTATAAATCGTATTTATTAGATGATACGAAAGGAATGATTTGAGAAACGCTGATCCCAGAAAAAATATCGTAAAAAACAAACAGTCAGACGTTATCTATCTATCTTTATCTCTCTTTCTTTCTCTCTTCGTATCTCCCGTTTTCTTATACATCTTGCTCGGCTTCGTAATAGTTCTATTAACGGTATGTAGCTGAGATCGAATTAACGTAGATAATAATTGCTTTCGCAGAGAGGCGATGATGGGCGTCAGTAAAAGCTCGCTTATGCACGTGACGCCGCGTACCGCTTCGGAGGAGTTTCACCTTGAACGTTATGCAAGCTAGCATTAACATACGCATACCTATGTTATAGGGTTAACGCATAGCGCATAGAGAGAAACTCTACGAGTCCTATTCTATAAACGGCACTGCAGTTCTTCGGATGCAGCGAATGTCACTGCTACGAGACTGTGGTTTTCTTTCTTTCTTTTTCTCTTTCTCCCCTCTCTCTCTCTCTCTCTCTCTCTCTCTCTCTCTCTCTCTCTCTCTCTCTCTCTATCTATCTATCTATCTCTCTCTTTCGCATCGAAAGCAAGATCTTTTTCTAAGAAACCTCTCGAGAACGGGTTATATTCGAGATGCGATAAATTCCATGGCGCTTCACGACGCAGTCGATGATCTTGTCTCTTCAGGTTGGTTCACATATATGTATCTATGTATGTGTCTATATATATATATATATATATATATATATATATATATAGAGAGAGAGAGAGAGAGAGAGAGAGAGCGAAAGATGCAAGTATTATGAAGGATTAGTTTCTATAGTAAATATGAACATTTTATTTCATTTTATTTGTTTTTCGTTTTTTTTATATAAATTATATTTATTATATACAATATATATATATATATATATATATACAAATATTTATACACTAATATTAAATATTAATATATATATATATATATTAATATTTAATTTATAAAATTACGATTGGACGAATGGTCGATCGATTTTACGGATTCAAATTTTGAATCATCAATCATAGATCCTATCCGAATTGATTCATTTGCCTCGTGCAATGTAAGAAAAGATGGCGTCGAATAAAGATGACGTTGAGTAAATTAAGTTCGGTTAAATTTGTC